AAAAAATAAAAAGTCAGAATTTGAGAAAAATCTAAAGCAGATTTCCTCTGAACTGCTATAGGACGCACGAGAGGTCAGAGCGAGCGGACAGTACAGACACGAGAGCTGGCACTCTGCTGTGGACTGATCTCACACACTTCACCTGCACTTGTGACTCTCATAATCTGTGTGCAATGCAAACACACGCCACACTGCCGACAGCACATCTATTCACCTCAGAACAAACACAGCAGATATGGAAACCCGAGATCGCTCTGGCAGCCTGTGTGATGTTATTCACAATATTTCAGTTGCAAACTCAATAGATTGGCAGATTTCTCAATATGAGCCCAACATCTCAACACAAGAGCGTTCATCACTAGTGACAACAGCACAATGCGAGTAGAAGACTGGTTTCCTGTAAAACCACAACAGTCAGACACATGCGATAGCCACTAGGGCTGTGACGGTGGCAGATTTTTACCACCGCGGTGGTAATGGACCAACTACCGCCAGTGGCGCGGTGTTGATATAAATATAAATATATTAAAAAATATACCAGAAAGAGAGAGATAAAGGGAGAAAGAGATGGTGTGTGTATGTGTGCACATGTGTGTAGGTCACTGTGATAGAGAACGGCTGCTGACTCAGTGATATTCTACAGCAGAGAAAGCCACAAGCAGATCTGTGTGTGTGCGTGTGTGTGAGAGAGTGAGTGAGAGAGAGAGAGAAAGAGAGAGAGTAAAAAAGGAAACCAAAGTGTGTCTGTGGCTGTTTCAACCCACATGAAAATGTATTGCTCAGAGGTTCTTTCTCAGTTATATTTTAAGTTTCTACTAAAAGAACGGAGAACAAATGAGATTATTGTTGAAAATATAGCGTATTAGGTAGGGCTGTCGCGATAACCGCAATATCGCAATACCGCGCTATTGACGAGCAAACCGCAGAGGAATGCAAGAACCGCAGCAACCGCGATTTTTCCGTGTTTTCTTTTTTCGTAAGGTTATGCCCTTCTCGTTTTACACTTCGTGCATGTGGACTGAATATTAAACAAGTTAGTAATGATAACATAATGTGTACCATGCTGATTTGTACAGAGGCTCCGTAGATTTGCACTTAACAAGCCTAAACAGACAGTGAATGAGAGAGAGATCGACTGAGCGCGTGCGATTAGTTGCGTCTGTCCTCCAGGCCGAGTCATATATATTTGTGAAAATAGGTTGTCATTTCCAAGGAAAGCGAAATCTCTGTCTTATCATGCGCGCAGGTGGAAATATCAATAGAAAGTCTCTTGTCCAGTCAAATTAGAAGATCAGATTACAGCTAGGCTAACTGTTATACATAAAGGCTAACGATAGCCTAACGATCTTATTGTCAGGTTTATGTTTTGTTATGTGGACCGTTATTTTGTCATTCTCTTCTGTTTAATTCACTTCCGGTTTCAACGCTATTTGGTTTCGGTTTCATTGTCTTCTGAATATGACCTTGTTAGTTATATCGTAACACATACACAAACAAATTATATATATATACAGTGGGTACGGAAAGTATTCAGACCCCCTTAAATTTTTCACTCTTTGTTATATTGCAGCCATTTGCTAAAATCATTTAAGTTAATTTTTTTTCCTCATTAATGTACACACAGCACCCCATATTGACAGAAAAACACAGAATTGTTGACATTTTTGCAGATTTATTAAAAAAGAAAAACTCAAATATCACATGGTCCTAAGTATTCAGACCCCTTGCTCAGTATTTAGTAGAAGCACCCTTTTGATCTAATACAGCCATGAGTCTTTTTGGGAAAGATACAACAAGTTTTTCACACCTGGATTTGGCGATCCTCTGCCATTCCTCCTTGCAGATCCTCTCCAGTTCTGCCAGGTTGGATGGTAAACGTTGGTGGACAGCCATTTTTAGGTCTCTCCAGAGATGCTCAATTGGGTTTAAGTCAGGGCTCTGGCTGGGCCATTCAAGAACAGTCACAGAGTTGTTGTGAAGCCACTCCTTCGTTATTTTAGCTGTGTGCTTAGGGTCATTGTCTTGTTGGAAGGTAAACCTTAGTTCCAGTCTGAGGTCCTGAGCACTCTGGAGAAGGTTTTCATCCAGGATATCCCTGTACTTGGCCGCATTCATCTTTCCCTCGATTGCAACCACTCGTCCTGTCCCTGCAGCTGAAAAACACCCCCACAGCATGATGATGCTATGTATGGCGATAATACCGCATACCGCGCTATTGAGCCACTCAAAATTACCGCAAGGGAAATTCCCTCACCGCGACAGCCCTAAGACACGGTTCACTGTTCCGCTACTGTTATTACTGTTATTACACTTGTATACAAAACTTTGTATTATGCTTGTTATAGAGTGCGTGACGTCACGTGCACTACCGCCGGTGGCAGTAGACAACTAGGTTGTCACGGCCACCGTCACAGCCCTAATAGGCACAACTACCTTTCTGTGCAATCTTTCCTTCACATGTCTGAAAAGCTCAAACTGGCATAGATTAAAACACTGTCTTGGTTCAATTCATCATTTGTTAGAATTTAGTAAGATTTCTTTTTCATTCTTGTGAAGAATGAATGAATAATTTACTTGTAATATACTTATGCATCCATTCATGTAAATGTAAGCAAAAGGACAATGAATTAAAAGCTTAAACAAACTACTGTGTGTTTAGTGCTCCAGCCTGCAACCATTTAGGGTGTTTTCACACTTGGTCCTTTTCAGGGGTCTGAGCGCGGTTCGCGGGATTTTTGGCCCATATGTGAACACTCCAAATGATCTCAGACCCCTCAGTAGCAAACCGAACCGAGACCATCTCGGGAGGTGGTCCGAGTATGGTTCGCTTTCGAAAAACGTGCAGTGAACACAAATCGGCTCGGGCTCACTTGATTTTTCCATTCGTGAATTCCGATGTATTTGGCCATCAGGTGTTTCCGTACAAATCAGCTGTTCATAGTGGCTGCTTCTTCTGGCAGATCGCTACAAATTGTTCGCTCACAACGTACACTAGTTTATTTTAATTTCAACCGCTTCCAAACTGTGTAAGAGAGATACGGCTGTGTGCCTTGCCAGTTTAAACTTTTTGATATAACCTAGGCTACGGGCGCGCACATCCCAGCGGGGGCTAAACTACACTCTATTTAGCGTTTATTGTTTCAACTGTCAAAAACACCCATGGTTCACATAAACACAGTTGGTTTTGTTGTCTCAATCGAATGCAAACATCTGGGAAAGTAATCACATGTGTAACTGATCTGTGCAGTATGTAGTTCTAGTACAGCAGCCTAATACGAGAATCAGTAGAATCTATTATTCATACGATTAATATGCATTTTAATTTTTATTTCATTTGATTAGTACATTTCTTACTTAAATGCTGCATTTAAGGATACCTGTACTGTACCTGAAAAATTTTAAGCAGTTTATTATATTATATTTTCTTTTCTTTTATTTGCCCAATTAACTGCAAGTCAATCAATGTCAGCATGCCTTTTCCGCTGGTCCTTAAAAAGTCTTTAAGGACCATTTAATTGTATCAAATTTAAGGCCATAAAAAGTACAATGGGGATGGAAAGACAATTGCCATATAGCTTAATGTGATGATTAAAATGAAAAAGGCTATGACTTCATTGGATAAATATGAGCGCCGCACGTTTCAAAGTCTATCTTTATGCAGTTCTGAAAGCGCACCTGCTGGCAGAGAATGAATTTGCATTTTTTTACAGCCCTTCTGCTGGTTTAAAATAATAATTAATATTAAACCAGCCATTAAACCATTAATTTAATAATTGATACATTTTATTTATGACTCTTTTATAAAAAAAATTCTTGAAATTTGATTTCATTTTATTATTTTTTATATTATTTTGTGTAAACCTGTAACTGTAAATCATGCTTTTTACAGTCATGCTACAGTCAGCACGGCCACCGCATGTAACTTTTAACAAGATTCACTTGTTTAAAACACCCTAAATTGTATTAACATTTACTATATAACCATTACTTCACTAATAAACATCTAAATAGATACAACTCCATGGAAATTAATTATTTATTATCTCCACGAGCGATCGCAGTTTGAGTATAGTTCTGTGTAAATGCATAGATAAACTGCGCTGTCAGCAGGCATTTCATAATTATCTGGGGAAATTACTTAGTTACTACATTTCTATTGCTTTCCATGTTGAAGAACTTTGTGTTGTTTCTATTTTAATGTACTTTTATTAAAGTTATTAAAATTAAGTTTAAATCACATTAAAAGCTTAATTTGTAATTATGAGTGAATGATGATGCATTTATATACCGTCACCGTCACTCACAGCCGCTCGCACGTGTTTTGCGCATGAGCCGCACTCAGCCCAAAATTAAACTGCTTAATCGACCATCGATAGCTTTAATCGATTGCATCTCTTATCGACAATTAATCGATCATCGATTAATCGTTGACATCCCTACTGAGTACCATTGCAATATTAACCAAACCAAACAAACAAAAAACAAATGCCAACTGCAATCATCTGTAGTACAACTTTTCAGACAGAATTTCCAAATTACCAGTCAAAATTTAATTTTTCTTCCTATTAACTACCTTTATTTGTACAAATAAGCTTCTATTATTCATTTCTTATTCAATCATATATGAGGGTTGAAACTGTCCATCATAAACCACAGCTTGTCACAGATGCTGTCCATACATCTCAAGGTGAACATAACCCAGACCTTTTCATTTTAAGGCTTGCATTTTGATACTTCATAAAGAAAATGGCAAAACAACCAAGCATGCTAAAAGCAATAAACCTTCCTTAAATCCAAGTAACATAAACAGCACTAAGTTTCTTACTGTTCCATTTGTAGTGGAAATTATAGGTTGAAACTGAAACTACACATACACAAAGCTGGTCGAAACTGAAACAATTTGTTTATCTGCATTCGTGTTAGCTTACCTAATCATTAAACCCAACCACACTGAACTTTTTTTAGGATGCAAAACTTAAAAAATAGCAATGGCGAATTACCTTGTTCATGTTTCCAGCTTGCTGGGGATTGATGGCATTGTGTGCCCCCATCTGTGGTGCACCCTGGGTAAGCGTCTCCGCCAATACACTGCCAGAAACGCTGACCCCTTGCCCGGCGCCCGGTGCTCCCTGCATGGCCTGACCCTGGTACTGCATACCCGGAGCTGCCCTGCCTCTTCCGGCCGGCCCCATCACGCCATTCATCATCTGCCCCTGCGGAGCCATGTTCTGCCCCATGAGTCCATGAGCCTGGTTATTGTTCAGCATGGCCGGGTTGAAACCTGCATTGAGGACCATGCCCGGACTGTTGTTGCCCTGACCGGAAGGGTTGCCGACCGGCTTTGGAGGTTGGGTCTGGTGACCGGGTGAGCCCTGGCCCATGGAACTCTTCCCCAAGGCACCCAGTTGGCCACCCATTCCAGACTGAGGGCTGAGGTTTCCAGCCAGACCAGAGCCGCTCCCTGCCTGCAGGAGCTGGGACAGCTGCCTGTGCTTGGCAGCAGCGTCTGGGATGGTGCCCCCCATCCGGCTCCCCACCCCTCCGTCTCCCTTAGAGGGCATGGACATCAGCCCCAGGTCTCCGTTGGGTATCGATCTGGAAGATAGGCACCCAGTTGGCCACCCATTCCAGACTGAGGGCTGAGGTTTCCAGCCAGACCAGAGCCGCTCCCTGCCTGCAGGAGCTGGGACAGCTGCCTGTGCTTGGCAGCAGCGTCCGGGACAGTGCCCCCCATCCGGCTCCCCACCCCTCCGTCTCCATTAGAGGGCATGGACATCAGCCCCAGGTCTCCGTTGGGTATCAACTCATCTGGAAGATCATTCTCCAAGTCGAACAAGGACACAAAGTCTAGAAAAAAAGAAAAAAGGGTCATCGTCCCATTAATTAACCAACCAACAGGCAACTCAGAAGTGATCAACTAATTTATCAGTTTGGTCAAAAAAATTGGCCAATATTTGTCCAGTTTAACTTGATACTACATTGACAATTGGCCCTTAAAGGGATAACTCATCAACACTCAACTGTACTTTTTTTTTTGTTGTTGTTCAGTGTTTCCCCTGCCATTATATTAGGGGGGCGGCCCGCCCCCCCAACGGCACCCCCAATCTTCGGTTTATTTATAAAGATAGCGCCTATTAGAAAATTTGCTTCGCCGATTACAGAGACGTAGCTCCACGTGATCACCGGGCGCTCAGTGCTCATGTATCCGCTGAGAGCAGTCTCACCTCGGCTAGTCCTTCTGACATTCGCCACTGGCTCTGATGTCTCTGCAGTGGTTAAACATGATATAATTCATTTTGGGTAAATCTAACAGGCAATCTTTGGTCTCGTGAATCTATTATTTCTTCCAGGTCATATCGATTTGGCTGAGCACAAAGTTTTATTTATTAATCGTAATACAGCGCTGACTTTGTTGCATACATTTGCAGGGCTCTACGCTTACTTTTCTTTTTAGGAGCACTTGTGCTCCTAACTTAAAAAAAATGTAGGAGCACGTTCAAAATTTTAGGAGCACCTTCTAATCAATAATCCAAAATTTTATCAAAAATTAGCCTTCCCATTACGAGGTGATATTTGACTCAAAGTGATTTACAGTGGAATTTTGTTTTTACATTTGTAATGGCATTTTTTTTTACTTTATTAAATGTAATCTTTTGTCAAATTCTTTAAAAATTATATTTTATAAGCTTTTTAAAAATTGCAATTAAAACGACAGAATAAGAACAAGTAGAATAAGAAACATAAGTTACCAATCAAATGAAATCACTATTAACAAAATTAATTTGTAGAGGTGGCACAGAAGAACACAAAAGTGACTTGGTATACTTTCAGACATTTAATGAGGCTCAGAAGTGGAATGAGTGCAATTAAATCCATAAATTCATGATGAGATTAATGTTTTAAATATAGAAATATTAAATGATTTAAACAACTGAAAAGATACTTTAAAAATGAAAC